GTGGGCATTAGGCCTACACTAGCACAAACGCCTTCTTTATTGTTTATCTTGTATAGCTCTTGCGTTCCAGTCTCCTTTTAAATCTAATTAATGCAGAATAAATGCCAGTTTAACTATGCAGTAATCACATTTCCATCAGGAAACAAATTCTGAAGAGATTAGGAACAACCTAAACATGCCATGAGACTTGTTTACAACCTCAAACTCCGTGTTTGGACATAGGGTGGGATGTAAACAGAGGTGAAATAATTTAAGACATACAAACCATCCGCAGCGCAAACATTTACTCAAAACTCTCCAGGGATGCTTGATTAAATTACCGTGAGGTTCCGCCCTTGGAGGTCTATGATTGGGCGTTGAGATAAAGGGGCGTGTCACGTTGGTCCTTTGTATAAATGGACACACGCTTCAGGGCTTTGACAGTCAAAACAAACTGGACTCTGTACGGAATTGCATTTGTATTCAGCCTCTATGCACAGCATGTTATTCTGGTGTCCGGTGAATACAGGCTATGCTTTTTATTTTACTAGGCTATAATTAAGAAAAAGACTCTTGCCAGAGCACATGCCAGCGCATCCTTTATTTAGCAGACAGAAGGGAGCGGCTGCGCGAAACTGACCGAGGATGGACTCGCCTACACAGGGGACCCACTGGTCTGCTCTCGCGCTCTGCGTCCTGCTATTGTGGAGCTCTGTGCGTGGCCGTGAGCATGTGTGTCAGGAGATTTCGGTGCCACTGTGTAGAGGGATTGGTTATAACTACACCTACATGCCCAACCAATTCAACCACGACAACCAGGATGAAGCCGGACTTGAGGTGCACCAGTTCTGGCCCCTCGTGGAGATCCAGTGTTCCCCTGACCTGCGCTTCTTTTTGTGCAGTATGTACACGCCTATTTGCTTGGAGGATTATAAGAAACCTTTGCCGCCGTGCAGGAGTGTGTGCGAGCGGGCGAAAGCGGGATGCGCGCCGCTGATGAGGCAGTACGGGTTCCCGTGGCCGGACAGAATGAGGTGCGATCTTCTACCTGTGCAGGGGGATCCGAACACTCTGTGTATGGACTACAACAGGACTGATGCCACATCATCTCCAGCTGCTCCAAAAACAACAAGCCGACCAGGGAAACCATTCAAACGGAAAAATAAAAGCAGTCCTGGATCTTCATCTTGTGAACCGGAGTGTTACTGTCGCGCGCCGATGGTGCCCGTGCACAGTGACCACCATCCGCTGTATAACCGAGTAAAGACGGGACAGATCCCCAACTGCGCTATGCCCTGCCACAACCCCTATCTATCCCAAGAGGAAAGGACCTTTGCTACATTTTGGATAGGGATTTGGTCAGTTTTGTGTTTCCTGTCAACGTTCGCCACAGTGATCACTTTCCTCATTGACATCGAGAGGTTTAAATACCCCGAGCGTCCCATTATTTTCCTGTCGGCCTGTTATATGTTCGTGTCCCTGGGCTATATTATCAGACTCATCGCTGGACATGAGAGAGTGGCGTGCAACCAGAATCATGAGGTGGACCATATACACTACGAAACTACTGGACCTGCACTTTGCACGCTTGTATTTCTCCTCATCTATTTTTTCGGGATGGCGAGCGCCATCTGGTGGGTGATTCTGTCCTTTACATGGTTCCTCGCGGCAGGACTGAAGTGGGGGAATGAAGCGATAGCGCGGTACTCGCAGTATTTCCACATGGCTGCTTGGCTCATCCCGAGCGTTAAATCCATCACTGTTCTCGCGCTGAGTTCAGTGGACGGGGACTCGATCGCGGGAATCTGCTATGTGGGAAACCAGAATTTAGACAACCTGCGGGGCTTCGTGCTCGCGCCGCTCGTGATTTACCTGTTTATCGGCACGATATTTTTATTCGCAGGCTTTGTGTCCATGTTTCGCATACGGAGCGTCATTAAGCAAGGAGGAACGAAAACGGACAAACTCGAGAGGCTGATGGTTCGCATCGGGGTGTTTACAGTACTCTACACGGTTGTTGCAATCATGATTGTGGCTTGCTATGTTTACGAACACCACAACCGCGAGGCGTGGGAAATCGCGCATGCGTGCAACTGTTCGTCCGATAAAAAAGCCCCGAAACCGGACTACGCTGTGTTTATGCTCAAATACTTCATGTGCCTTTTGATTGGGATCACGTCGGGCGCGTGGACGTGGTCCAGTAAAACTCTGGACTCCTGGCGCGCCCTGTGCACGCGCTGCTGCTGCTGCAGGTGGGCCACTAAAGGCACGAGCGGGTCAGTTTACAGCGACGCAAGCTCGGGACTGACGTGGCGATCGGGCACAGCAAGCTCGGTGTTGTGCCCTCCAAAACAAATGCCACTTTCTCGTGTGTGATGATAACATCAGGACAAGCAGAACGTATTAACAAAGACTGCAAACTGAGCAACTGCAGCTTTCCTGAGGTGATGTGAGATGCATAATATTTCGTGACAAAGACTTGAGTTGAAAGTGTGAAGTTTTTAACTTAATGCCAGTCATTAAAGGGATCAAAATGGTGTCATTATTTTCAACCCCTTTACTTGCTCCAAACCTTTATGGCTTTCTTCTGTTGAACACTGAAGAAGATGCTTTGAAGAAAGATGCAACACTTTAACCACTGACTTCCATAGTTGGAAAAATAAATGCAGTGGAAGTCCATAGGCACAGGTTTTCAGCTTTCTTCCAAGTATCTTGATTAGTGTTAAACAGAAGAAAGTCATAAACATTTGAATAAAGAGTGAGTAAATGATGACAGAATTTTATTTTTGGGTGAACTATGCCTTTAAATCACAGCTACAGCATGTGTAGACATTGATGAATGTGCCTTGATGAATTGTAATACGGGTTTTTATATTTTCTTATGTATTTATCAGATAATGTTTAACGTTTATAAAGAATTGTTTGTATTTATCTTTTAGTTTTGACAATAAAACTATATGTGAAACATCACCGAAGCACTTTTATTATTCAACATATGTGCATTTCCAGATTTACAATCACCTCACTAACAGAAATAATGTAGTGAATATCTGGCTTTCTTTGATATCATAAAACACTTTAAGCTACAAAATAAGCAGCATATTTTTAGTAAAGAACAAAAATAAAGTAATATCAGAAAAAGGCGAATATAAGATAATAATGTAAACAAAATAAAAATCACTTATTTCTCATCAAATTTGAATAGGATTGAGAATTTAAGACATTTTAAGTAATTTGAAGTCATTAAGAAATGAATTATGAACAAATGCAAATGTCAGATGCGTATATTGTTAATTAGAGAGAGGTTTTGTATTATTAATTTATTGTTGTTGATTAGATTGGCTGTTGTTGGTCATTTAAAAAAGTAGCCTAATACGAGAAGTAATTGTAAGCCATTTGAAACAACTGAACTCATTCAGCATACTCAGTTAAAATAGTTGGGTTAAAAACACCCCAACATATAACCCAGCCAAAGATTATTATAGCACCTTTCCTTTTATTGGTTATTTTAACCCAATGCATTGGATTTTTTTCAATAAAAGTATTTTTTTCCATTCTGCCATTGCTAATGCTACTATTACTAGTGCTACTTATTGTGTAAGTATGGCTGTGTAAATAAATTTCTAAGAAGATTGAAAATGCTTTATTTCCACAACATTTTAAGTTCCAGACACAGCGTTTTTATCCGGTTAATATACTCTAAAAAAAAAAACGTTGGGTTATTTATTTAACCCAATAGTCGAGTTAAAAATATTTGGTGCTTCGTTGGGCTATTTTTAACATTTAATGGGTTATTAATTAATAACTCAACCAGATTTGTTAAATGTTTTGTGCTTTGTTGGGTTATTTTTAGCTATTGTTGGCTTATTTATTTAATAACCAGTTGGGTTAAAAAATTTGAATTTCAACAGTCAACTGTTTTTACTGACACATGAGCTGTATTAATATGTGTACGTAATGTCGCTTTGCAGTTATAACGTTTATGTTAGCTCTAACACAATTACATTTTTCTTTTAATCAAGTTACCTCTCAGAGTCGTGTTTTTTATATCCGTTTCACCAGCACTCTTACTTTGATACAAACTCGCGCTTCATAGTCGATCTAAATACAAATAAAAGCACTTTCTCTACCTCCGTGTTCATTTCTACAGTTTTTTTTGGAGAAAATAATACACATATTTGAGATATTAGTGGTTATGCCACTTTTTTGGCAAAATAATCCAACCAATTAGTTATTTTTGTAACCAAAATTGCTGGGTTAACCTAAACAACTCAATGGATTGGGTTAAAATAACTCAACACCAGGTCGGTGCCAAAACAACCCATCATTGGGTTACCCGTTGGGTTATTATTTAACCCAACTGTTTTAAGTGAGTATAGATTGGCTACGAAGCGCAAGTTTGTCTCATCAACAATTAAAAGTGCTGGTGAAACGGACAGAAAAACACGACACGGAGAGGTAATTTGATTTTAAAAAAAAAACATTGTGTTCGAGCTTGAATAAACGTTATAATGCAAAAGCAACATTACGCACGCATATTAATACGGCTGTTCTCTGTCAGTTAAATCAGTTGACTGTTGAAATTCAACATTTTTAACCCAACTGGTTGAGTTATTAATAAATAACCCAATAAAAGTTTTAAATACTCCAACAAAGCACCTAATATTTAACTTAATTATTGGGTTAAATAACTTATTAAATGGGGTGTAACAAATTCTTTACTTGCTCCAAACCTTCATGACTTTCTTCTGTTGAACACTGAAGAAGATACTTTAAAGAAAGATAAAAACCTGCGACTATTGACTTCTATAGCATTTGTCAATAGGCACAGGTTTTCATTTTTCCTCAAAATATCTTCATAAGTGTTAAACAGATGAAAGTCATAAAATTTTGAAGTAAAGGGTGATTAAGCAATGACAGAAATTTCGTTTTTGAGTGAACTATCTCTTTAAAACACAGCTACAGCACGTGTATAGATTGATGAATGTGCCTTGATGATTTTGCATTTTCCTATGCATTTATGAGATAATGTTTAACGTTTATTAAAAAATGTTTGTATTTATCTTTTAGTTGACAATAAAACAATATGTAAAACATCACCAAACATAACATAAGTGCATTTCCAGATTTACAGTCAACAACACCTCACCGACACAAATGACGTAATGAATATCTGGCTTTTTTTAATCAAACTAATGCAACACTTAAAGCTACTAAACAAGCAGCATATTTTAGTAAAGAATAAAACTGAACATCAAGTAAAAACACAATAAGGCAAATATTAAATGTTAATATTCACAAAAAAAAAATCTTTTGCATTAAATTTGTATAAGATTGAGAATTTAAGATATTTTTAAAGTTATTAAGACATGAATTATGAACAAATGCAAATGTCAGAAGCTGATATTGATAATAAGAGAGAGGTTTTGGGTTTTTGATTTATTTTTGTTGATTAGATTGGCTGTAGTTGGTCATTTATAAAAGTAGCCTAATACAAAAATATAAAAAGTAATTATGAGCCATTTAAAATAACTAGACTCTTTCAGCATGGCGAGATAAAGAACGGCAAGGCAGGCAGGCAATTAATTAAATTAGTAAGTGTGTTTAAAAAGCCTTCATTCACATGGCTAATCTTTAAAATACCTGCCGTTTCGGCGTTACTCAGATGAAGGCAGCTCTCTGTTGAAACGCGCAAGTTTTTAAAAAATTAGCCATGTGAATAAAGACTTTTTAATATTTCTTCCACATTTTTTGAGTGCCTTGGACAGATTTTCATTGTTTGCATTGATGAATCTCTTGCCCAAAGAGCACCAGCACATTGTTTGAGCTCCCCCTGAGCACCTTTTGTTTTGGATAGTGTGTTTATCTGAAAACAATTGCACAAATTACAATGTTCATCAGCCAGTTGGTATCACCTGACTAAAACCTCTGTTGTATTAAAGTATAAGATATTTATATTATTAATTAAAAAACTATGATCATATCTAAAGGTCGGATTGTCTTACTGTATGTACTTTACAATGTTTGCAGTGCAGGTTCAAAGTGTGCTGCATTTACAAGCTGAATTATCACAATAAACTAAATCCAGAGATTTATCAGTGAAAGTGTTCAATGTTTTCCTTTTACTTTAAAGATAATGTATAAGAGAATGAATTCAAGGATTTAGTTACATAAAAATGTAAGGTAAGACTTTATTTTGATTTTCCGATTGCACATTTTGTTGACTAAAAGTTGAATTGCAACTACATGCCAACTAATTCTCATTAGAGTATTACTAGACTGTTTGCTAATGCTCCTTTAACAGACATTTGACTGGCTATAAGAAACTTTGCAAGTACATGTCAACTTACATTAACCCTAATGAGAATTATGAGTCATGTAGATGCAATGTAGCTTAAATTTGGACTATCAAAATAAAGTGATACCACATGTAATGCTACTGTCTTTACTTTAATCCAGATTTACATGCACTGCGTGCATTATTGAATTAATCAATATTCCACAATTAACCGTATTCCACAATTAAATTAGTTTGCGATGATCTGCGGATGCTGTAAACGGACTATAACCCTAGATTACACAGTTTCACAGATGACTGCGGATTTAAAATAAACCCAGGATGGAGCGGTTGAGTGAATGTGGTCTGGATTCGGTGTATGAGGCTCATCTCTGAATCAGAAACGCTAAAGAAGGACAGAATCCCTGCTCTCTGATCAACATACACGCCTATTCTGGAGTTGGAGACTACAGGGAGTTCAGTTCTGTCATTGTTGTGACTGAATATGCATTTAGAGGCAGAGCAGAACAATCTCCAGGACTGATCATTGCTTCCAAACTTGCACTCGATACCTCGTCCCTTCCTGCAGATGGTCTTATACGACACTGATAATCCCACACCATGATTCCCGCTCCACTCCACCTCCCAGTAACAGCGTCCACACACAATCTCCTTGCACAACACCTGAGGCCAGACATCAAATCTGTCCAGATGATCTGGATACTGGTGGAGTGTAGAAGTGAAAGTAGCTCCTCTCTTCCCCTCTGACAGACTGAGGTGGTTATGCACCGACTCTGAATTCAGAGTAAACTGATGGGAATCTGAGAGGGATAAAACAGACAATCTGCATTTGAATAATGAAATACGTGAAGCAACAATCAAAGATGTACTAGTAACAGGTATAATTAACACTGTAAAAATGATGAAAGTCATGACGACAAATGATTTATGTTACTTTAACTCTTTTAAATAAGTTAATCAGGTTTCAATTAAATACTTTAGTTTGACTAATGCAAGTGGAGATCTTTTCCACAAGTAAAAATGGCATTACATGGTAATTACAGTGACATTTAAATATTATAAAATGGCATTAAGTCTATTAAACATGAACATGTTCTTTGCCACCAGTGAGATTATTGCGGCAGTACTGTTTGGTGCTAATTGTGACATATAAATCAAACACTTTAACTGCTTTTATTAAGAGTACAGATGCAAAAAAACGTCTGAAATTCTTCAAAAATTAGCATTTGTTTTAAGTCTCTGATGTTTATGTTAATTTATTTCACTTTAAAGGGCATCGATAAAAAATGATTTCTTCAAGTGTTTGCAGCGCGAGGACTTAGTTTATTGCTGATAAGTGTGTGTGCGTGTGTGTATATATTTAGTTGAAGTCAGAATTATTAGCCCCCTCTTAAAATGTTTTTTCTTTAATTATTTCCCAAATGATGTTTAACAAAGGAAGGAAATTTTTCACAGCGTCTGATAATAATTTTTCTTCAGGAGAAAGTCTTATTTGTTTTATTTTGGCTAGAATAAAAGCAGTTTTTAATTTTTTAAAAAACCTTTTAAGGTCAAAATTATTAGCCCCTTTAAGCTTTATTTACAATAAACAGTTAAACAATAACTTGCTTAAGTAATTATCTTAAGCTGTCTAGTTAAGCTAATTAACCTAGTCAAACCTTTAAATGTTACTTTAAACTGTATAGAAGTGTCCTGAAAAATATCTAGTCAAATATTATTTACTGTCATCATGACATCATGTCGAGGTTTTTTGCATCTTAACTCTTCACATACACACACACACACACACGCACGCACGCACGTGCATGCGCACACACACACACGCGCACACACACACACGCGCACACACACACGCGCACACACGCGCACACGCATGCACGCACGCACGCACGCACGCACGCACGCACGCACACACGCACACACACACACACACACACACACACACACACACACACACACACACACGCGCGTGTGTGTCTGTGTTTGCTTTCATTTATAAAACTCACACTGTAAGAAGTCCTCACGGGTTTTGGGATCAGCCACATGCAGTATTTTGCTAAATCTTCCTACAGAAACAAACAGATTTTAAAATGTGATTTTAATAAAGGCATCAAGATCAATTTATTGTGATAACAATATTATAACAAAATATATTATTTTTGGCCTTTTTGCCTTTATTAGATAGGAAAGTATTAGATAGGACAGGAAGCAAAGTGAGAGAGGGGTGGGGGCGTGGGTTTGGGAAATGTCCTCAAGCCAGGATTCGAACTCGGGATGCCCTGACCTGCTACTGCACCACATGTCAGAGTGCGAATTACCAGGCTATTGCACTGACGCACACAGAGTTTTAATGTTCAGCCAGCTAGCCCCAGCCCAGTGAACTGTCGCTCCATTACAAATTTGCCATGTTTAAGATCTGATTTCTTTAAAAATCTTCACAGCCTTATTGATATTTGATATAAAGTGTGAATCCAACTGGACAATAAGCACTGCATGAAATTAAAATTTTCGCATCATGGTTTTCAAAATACTAATTTATTTTACTCTAGTATTTTCAATAGAGTTTCATCGCTAGCCTTCTGCTACTGACAGAGCTTGCATTTACATGGTTTTTAATCTTTTTTTAATGCTTGAACAACTAAATGAGTGCCTAAGTCTATTGAACTGATTGTATCTCAATTATATTAAAACATCGATGCCTTAAATAAAACCTTGCTAAATTTATATTAGTCACATTAAACCATTCACCGGAAGTTGATCAATGGCTGCAAAATACTAGCTGTGCATATACCCAATTGATTGACCCCTACAGAAAAAAACATTTGAAAAATTCAGATGTATGATAATAAATTAAAAATCTGCTACGTTTATATGAAAATGCTCTAAAACACCACGTGTGTTCAATGTGTGTACATGCTAAGCTCATATTGTTGTTGAAATGTTACATAATTATGTTATTCAATAATCATGACTCATTTACCTCCAGCAGAAAACTTTTCCATCTCCAGTTTGCAGAAATCCTCTACTTTGCTTTGTAAGACAGACAAGGAGGGTTTCACATTAAAATAAGAGCCGAAAAAGCCAGAAGCTTTAGATCCAGGAGGGACAGAAACGGACTGGAAATTCTACACATGCAAAAACGCATGAATTAAGGACAAAAAATTAGAGAATCATTAAAAAAAAGTATGACATAATTGGCAATACTCAAACCTCTGAGGACTATTGCATCTAATGAATTACTTGATAAAACCAAAGATTGCTCAGTACTACTACTAATAATTTTTGTGAACCTGTAGAAAGTAGATGTGATCATCTGTGTGAGAAATCTTCTCCAGCTCAGAGTTTCTCCTCTTCAGATCATCAAGCTCCAGCTCCAGTAGTTTCGCGTGTTCTTTGGCTCGACTCGCTGCCTCCTTTTCTCGATCTCTGATCATCTGTGTGACCTCAGATCGACTTCTCTCGATGGACTGGATGAGTTGAGAAAAAACCTTCTCGCAGTGCTCCACTGTTCTCTGTGCTGAGGTCTGTTGAGAAACACTCATTGAGTCACACAAAATCAGCTCATTTCAAGCTGACTATTGTTCAACAACACTCACCATGCGATGCTTCATAGATGTTCTCAAGTATTGCAGCTGTTTTTGCCTCTTTTGAATTTTGTTCTGTAATATTATGACCATCTCTTCAACCTGTTTCTGAGGGGATAAGAAAATTATTATAAACATTAGAACGCTAATTAGGGTTGCACAATATATCATTTTAGCATCAATATCACAACGTATGAACACACAATAGGGATTATAGTTGAGCAGGTACAACCGTTTAGAACACATGAGAAGTTTGGGGTCATTTCAGTTTAACCATTCATTCATTTTCTTTTCAGCTTAGTCCCTTTATTAATTTGAGGACACCACAGCGCAATGAACCGCCAACTTATCCAACATATGTTTTACACAGCGAATGCCCTTCCAGCTGCAACCCAATCACTGGGAAACACCCATACCCACAGGAACAAGGGGAGAACATGCAAACTCCACACAGAAATGCCAACTGACCCAGCCGAGACTCAAACCAGCGACCTTCTTGCTGTGAGGCGATTGTGCTACACACTGCGCCACCCCAGTTAAACCATAATAAAGGGAAGGTTTATTAATTGATTTAGTTTTTAGGGCATTTGAAAAACATTTTAAGCAAGTTTAAAGCATCTGGGCACATGGAAAATTACATTCGTAGCTTTAACAAAGATTAATTGTATTTAATTATTTGTATATTTGCTCTATTTATCTCTGCGTGTAATTTGTTGATTATATTTTATGTGCTCTTCTCAGGGTTCATACACATTTTTACTACAAAAACTCCAGGGGCCTCTTGTATCAACGCTGCGTACGCACAAAAACTTTGTTTACGCCAGATTTCACGCTCACGTTTGGATTTACCACGATGAAATTAACGTGAAATTGTGCGTTGGTCCGCACCAACTTCATGTCTTGTGTACTTGTGTTTCTTATGCGTTTTTTTTGATTGGCGACTCCTAGAGGTTAAATTGTACACTACAAAGTATCTTTGAGTCGTGCAAATTTTCAGCTCTATGGGACGGGATCATACACATGTCTAGCGATATATAAGGTTTCCATACCATGCAGTTGACCAGCCAAACTTTAAAGTGCAATTTGCAGCAATCGCCGGTTTTCCCAATGTAATCGGAGCGATCGACTGCACGCACATTGCTATTAGGGCGCCATCTGAAGACGAATTTGCATACATGAATCGGAAACATTTCCATTCAATAAATGTTCAAATAATATGTGCACAAATGCGCTTAACAAATATTATAGCAGGGTGGCCTGGGTCAACCAATGACTAGGCCCACACGGAATCTGCGCGCGCAGAATTCCGCAGATTTTTTGCCTATCATTAATTCTGTTTATTTACTTAAGTAAATGTGTGTAAATCTAAATTTATTCCGTTTTTTAATTAATTACAGTAATATTATTGACTAATATGAAAATTTTCATCTTATTTACGTACAATGCAGTGTGTACAGTAATATTTTCTGTCTTTTAGTAGAGGTATTATATGAGAGACTTGCTTTGTTTACCAAATAAAGTGGATCTAATTGGATTTGCAATTTAAACATGAAATAAAAGTTGAAAAAAATGGATTAATTTTTATTTCACAAATTAATGTTTTAGTTATGATACTACCAAAATAATTTAGCAGAAATTAAATTAAATTAAAATCTCCTCAGAAATAGTAAAAAACGTACGCAGATTCCGTCTGGCCCTGCCCATGACTAATTCATCCTCACAAACAGCATGGTTGAGATAAGGCTCTAAGGTGGCAGGCACTCGGTCAGTTGTAGAGCGGGCGATTGGGCAGCTGAAATGCCAGTGGCGCTCCCTTGATAAGAGAGGGAGGGTGCTGTTATACCGCCCTAATAAAGTGTTCCCAATACATCTGTGTCTCCCACAGACACGGATACTACTCCAGACAGTAAAGAGTTGCCCACAATCGAGTCAACACTCTCCTCAAAGGGTGTTAGTTCAGCATCCCCTGTTCGTTTCACACTTTGATGATGTGCCGCTGTTTTCCTCTTAACCTGCACCTTTACATCGGACCATTTCTGTTTTTAAATTCTGTATACCGCCTTGTGGGTTTTTCTGTTTTTCCAAAACTTTTCCAGGCCTGGAAAATTCCATGACTTTTCTAGGTTTTCCATGACCGAATGAACCCTGTCCTCTACAAAATCATCCCCTTGATCTTAAAAAAAATGGCAGGAAATTTAAAAAAATCGCAATGTTTGCTTTTTCCAATATTGTGCAGCCCTAACGCTAATACACATAACTGAAACATTATATAACTCATATGTGTTTTCAGCTCATACCTGTTTCTCAGCTCTCTCTGCTTCAGCTGAAACAATATCGTGATTTTTGTGTTCATCCATCACACACATTAAACATATACATTGCTTATCAGAATGACAGTAAACCTCCAGCAGTCGGTCGTGTTTGGAGCAGATTATATCCTGGATTCGTCTAGTGGCATCAGTTATCTTATGTCGCTTCTTTGAACGAGATTCTTCGTGAGACTCATAATGGCACTGACAGTAAGATTCGAGACACACTAGGCAGGATTTAACAGCTTTGCGTTTTCTCCCATTACAAACATCACACTCCACATCTCCAGGTCCAGCGTAACTGGGAGCAGGGTCAACTGTTTGGACTTTTATCGCCTTCACTTTCTCCACCATTTCTGCCAACATCACATTCTTGTTTAAGGCAGGTTTTGGAGTGAAGGTCTGTCTGCACTGAGGGCAGCTATTAATCGACAGATCACGTCGATTCCAGTATTCAGTAATGCAGTTCATACAATAACTGTGGCCACAGGGGATGGTCACTGGGTCCTTCAGGAGATCCAGACAGATTGAACAGCTGAACTGATCTTGAGCAACAGAAATGCTGGCTTCTGCCATTGCTCTACATGCGCAAACAGACAGAAAAACGCAGAAAATTAGCATATGTGAATGAAACAAACTGTATACAATTCAAAAAGGGTTTTAAACGTGACTCACCTGCAGAAATAGAACAGTAGACAGCTTCTCCGTTCACTGAGATTACTTTAAAAAGTTCGTCAACTCTGCTGGCTGATAAAACACACGTTGATCGTGGGCCTGCACAACGCTGCAGCCTACAAACAACTTGGAAGGCAACAACCTGACTAAAATGTTTCGACGGGATTTCTTTAAGAAACCGCTTGTTTTCTTTTTTAAACGAGACCAATAGTTTCAAGGGAAAGTATGAGAAACTAAAATCAGACGTTTGCAAACATATAAAGCCAAAGGCGACTCCTCGGAATGTTTTTCCCCCCTTCTCGTATGACTGACTGGCGGTTGGCAAATCAATTTACAGGTGCGCATTATGCCACCTATTGGATTGGAGTGTGAAGTGCAACTTAAGGGGGAAAAATGCTAGGGGACATTTTTTTAATAAAACCCCAACCAATGCAAACAACAAAAATAACAGCTTTCATAATGTCCATTTTCATACTTCTATTGCGTAGTTATTATCTGTATTTATGAAGAATAACTGGATGTATGACCATAGAGACAGACAGACAGACAGACAGACAGACAGACAGACAGACAGATAGATAGATAGATAGATAGATAGATAGATAGATAGATAGATAGATAGATAGATAGATAGATAGATAGATAGATAGATAGACACAGACAGACAGACAGATAGATATAGATCGATCGACAGATAGACTGATATATGGACAGATAGATAGAATGCAGGTTTGATTCAAGCTCCTCTTTATTCTCATACCCTCCTCTTATATTCTGCCCAAGCTGCCAAACTTAAATAATCAAGAAAAGGAATGCTATAAAATTTTTTGTTTATTTATAGATATTTATTAAATATTACAGAGGGCATACATACATACATACACACACACACATATATACACACACACACACATATATATATATATTGTGTGTGTGTGTGTGTGTGTGAGAGAGAGAGAGATATTTTATATTTATATCTATTTAATTTGTTGATAGTGATTTATAGTTTCAATAGTAAATTTTGTCATTTTTGATTTGATGAGGACTTTCATAGTAAAAAATTATTAAATGCCACAATAAATATTCTATTGTATAAATGAATAATCAACTTTATAAACTACAGAAAAGACAAGCTTTAAAAAGAAAACTATAAAAAAAAATGTTTAATTTACGCAAGATGATAATGGTCTAATCTGATCCAATGATCTACACCAAGCTAAGTTAAAAGTGCTCTCAACAGACAAGGAGATCTACTAGTTGAATAATAATAATAAAAAAAAATAGCAAAACTCAAACGTTTAACTTACTTACCTACTCCCAGAGCCAATTATATAGAAGTTGATATTTAGCTGCACCATATTGGTGTTTTGTAACATCTATTTTTTTTCATGAGGTGGGTTGTTAGCACAACGCTCAACCCCCAACCTGAAGGGCCAGGACATACACACATACACCGGTCAATTTTAGTTTATTCAATTCACCATTTTCACATGTGGAGGAAACCTACGCAAACACGAGGAGAACATGCAAACTCCACACAGAAATGCTAACTGGCCCATTCGGGGCTCGAACCAGCTACCTTCTTGCTTTGAGGTGACATCGCTAACCACTGAGCCACCACGCTGCACCAAAATGAGCCCATTTACACAAAAAAAGTTGTAAATAAGAGCTTAACAGAATCCCACATCTTCAATGTGGTGTCAGTGGGAAAAGGGAAAAGGAGGGTGTAAAATATTTAAAGATGCACACACAGATAGACACTTCAGGTTTATGATAAAGTTGAAGATTGTTTGAGTTTATTAATGAAACAAATGCTACTTTTCATAGCTCTTACATGATGATTAGAACTCTAAATCATAGATGACAGTTTCACTGATGAGTCCCGGTTTAAGCCAAACCCAGGGTAGAGCGGTTGAGTGAATGTGGTCTGCACTCTGTGGATGAGGCTCATTTTTGTGTCAGAGACTCTGAAGAACGACAGAACTCCTGCTCTCTGATCCACATACACGCCTATTTTGGAGACTACCGGCAGATCCCGTTTCCTGTTGTTGTGACTGAATATGTATCCAGAGGCAGAGCAGAACAATCTCCAGGACTGATCATTATATCCAAATTTACACTCAGTACCCTGTCCCTTCCTGCTGATGCTCTTATATGACACTGCTATAGCCACACCATGATTCCCGCTCCACTCCACCTCCCAGTAACAGCGTCCACACACATTTTCTCTGCACAACACCTGAGGCCAGGTATCAAATCTGTCCGGATGATCAGGATATGCATGCATTGATGCAGTGAAAGTAGCTACTCTGTTCTCATCGGACAGACTGAGGTTGTTATGCACCGACTGTGAATCCAGAGTGAACTGATGGAAATCTGATGGAGATGAAACACACAATCTGCATTTTAATCAAGAAATCTGAACTGAAAAACATATATAAACATATATATATATATATATATATATATATATATATATATATATATATATATATATATATATATATATATATATATATATATACCTAAATTCATACATTTTCCTTTGGCTTAGTCCCTTATTTTTCAGGGGTTGCCACAGTGGAATGAACCACCAACTATTCTAGCATATGTTTTACGCAGAGCTTCCAGCCGCAACCCAGTACTGGAAAACACCCATACACTCTTTCATTCATACTCATACACTACGACCATTTTAGATAACTCAATTCACCTAATGCACATGTCTTTTGACTGTGGGGGAAACTGAAGCACCTGGAGGAAACTCGAAGAGAACTCGAAGAGAACACCAACACGAAGAGAGCATGCAAACTCCACACAGAAACGCCAACTGGTTCAATCGGGACTCAAACCAGCGACCTTCTTGCTGTGATGCAACAGTGCTAACCACTGAGTCGCCCAAATATATTCTTTATGCTATTTGTTTATGTTTGGTGCTGAGTGACAGTGGCTTCACAATTAACCTTTCCATAGATATTAATGTTTGCTTTATTTGTAGTAAAGTACTCACACTTTAGGAAGTCCTCCCTGGTTTTGGGTTTAGTGGTGGGAAGGATCTGCGTTCTGCAGCTCACTGTAGAAACAGTTAGTCATTTAGTGGCATGCAATCTGTCTTAATCTAACCATTTTGTCGTACTCTATTTCAGTGTTTGTCAACTGTCAGAAACAAAAGCATTAGTAATTGTTTGTTGCACAGCTTTTATTTAAATAATACCTAAAGAAATGTTAGCAAGTCGGTTGTAATCTAATAATTTTGCCGTACTCTATTTCAGTGTTTTTCAACTTTTATGTCAGAAACAAAAGGATTAGTAATTGTTTGTTGCTGTTGTTGTTGTTGTTGATGCACAGCTTTTATTTAAATACAGAGTTCATCTGGGGTCCGTTCTTCGTACCTCGCTTAAATGATCTAAGATTATTTGGCAGATCCGGGATCTTTTAATCTTGATAACTGATCTCTCGCTAATTTGGTTCTTCAAACAAGTTCTTGAATCAGATTAGAATGTCTGGATGAACTGATCTGAGATTGTTGCGTGTGTTATGAAGGACAGATCTATCGATCCTCGAAATCATGATCAGCAATTCAACGATTGGCTGACGGCATAGCAGCGTAATGACATCATCTGATTAATATTCAATTATCCATGTGAGCAAAATTACATCAAATTAGCAGTAAACCGTTTGTTAAATATGACACGCAAGAACTTTCCACATTTGTTGTGAGCTGCAGGCTTTACACTTTCATTTGTCAAGACAAGAGTATTCATCATGTATTTCAATGCAAATCAATGTATTTAGTTCTACATTTAGAAAAGATTTTCTTTATTATAGTAGCCGTTTTTTAATTGGTGTATAAAGAATAACTGGTTGTTTACAAAAGCATTTTCATATTGGTAAAGGTGTCTGCAACTTTTGTGAAGCATCAAATCACTGGCATATTAACTATCAAAACATGTTTATGACTGCATAAATGTATTATTGCTTTTAAAAAAAGTCACATATTGTGCATTTCTATTATACACAATTTGTTCTAAAGCGATCTAAAAAGTTCATTTCAATAAGTTTTCTCTTTGCACCAGGTGGCAGTCTTTGTACTTTCATTTTGAGGGTGCAGATTGCATACATTTTATTAATATATATAACTTTATTTATTTTATTAATGAATAACTTTATATATATACTTTATATATATATTTAAAAATTATGTATTATTTCCCCAAGTGTATAACTACTACTGTAAGAAAATATCAGAATTCGGAACATACTTTCTGTATTATCTTTGCTTGAACTGAGCCAATCTAATCCTGTTTATATGAATTGAACCTGCTCCCGATCAGGTTTGACCTAGCAGAACTGTTGCCATGACAACAACTCTCGGATCAGCTTTGAAGAACGAAACGATCCTGGATCGTGTCAAATCGTCAACATCCAAATCCAGCTAACTGAGTAATCCACGTACGAAGAACGGACCCCTGGTCATGGAAAACCTGGAAAAGTCATGGAACTTTGACAAGCATTTCCAGGCCTGGAAAAGTTTTGGATAAACAGAAAAAAACCATAAAGTTTTGGAAAGTCATTGAAATTACATTTACATTAAGTTATTTAGTGATTTTAAGTTATCAGTTATTTTAAGTTTTGGAAAAGTCAGGGAAAACTGAAATCAGATATCTGATATCTGTATCCTTGATTATAGTTTATTTACTTCTTTTCTGTCCTTGGCCAATCACCAACTCTCACATTATTAGTGTGGTTTAAGCATTATCTTAATCAATTTTACATAAATATAAATTGCAACTAAATAGATTGTTGCATGTTTTACGATATGCTGTAATAAAGTTGAGTATGCATTGTTTTCTTTTACCATGCATATGTAGACATTGCATAAATTTGCTCTTCAGTGTTTGGATTCTCAGTAATGATTTTTAACCACACTGAACTGAGCTAAACTTAACTGAACTTAAACACTTAAAACTGAACTACTCTGTTTCAATTACTATGACCATTTTTGTGAAGCTGCTTTGACAAAATACATTGTAAAAGGGCTATACAAATAAAGCTGAATTAAATTGAATTGCATGAAACATTAGGACATGAAAATTTGCTTGAAAGTTTTGGAAAAATCATGGAAAAGTCATGGAATTTTAGTAGTAAAAATGTGTATGAACCCAGTAAATATTATTTACTTAAGGTTTTAACTAGAAACATTAGATTAGATTGGATTCAACTTTATTGTCATTACACATGTACAATGCAACGAAATGCAGTTTAGGTCTAACCAGCAGTGCAATAGCAGCAAGTGCAGAATAGAGGTATAC